TGCTTCTGCTGGCTTGGTGTTTCTGGTTACAAGCCTCCCATTGCTTTACAGTAACTGCATTGCTTCTGTTAATTTCGGTATCTACAGATTTGTCCAGCTTCAGAACCCAAACTCTAATGACTGCTCTATATTACTGTGCTAGATTCTATCTCCAAAAGGTGTAATTAATGACTGGTCTAAAAACCTCAGCTCTCAGTTTCTAGGAAACACCTTGAAGTAAAAGAAGGCTTGGCCCAGGAGTCAGGCAATGTGGGCTCTAGTCTTGGTTTTCCACTAACTTATAGTTTTTTATGTCCCCTGGGTCCCTCAGTCTCATTACCTGGATATGAGCGGATTGGATACAAAGAGCTCTGTGATCCCTTTAGACTTTCCTGAAGTCAGCTATAGGTCAGCTGCAAGGTAGGGATCCTCCATGGGCCACTGAGAGCACCAAGCCTTCCAGCCCCAGTGCTGGGAATGACCTCAAAAGGGACCCCAGTGGGGTTCCTGGAAAACATTCCAGTTCTTTAACACAGCTCACTCCATATCCCTCTGGAAAAACTACACAGTGTCTCGTCAAAGTCCTTCCAGTGGAAACTAGCATGGATCGCTATTGCATTCTCCTTCCCAAGGTCCGTTCCCTCTTCCTCTAGTAATGGCACCCTAGCTTTCCCTTAAGGAACCATCTTCTCTCTATTCCCAGTCCTTGAGGGTTGAGCTCCAGGGATAGGCTCATGAAAAGCTGGGCAAATAGCCTATTTTTCACCCCAGTGGTTGACTGATGATTGGACCAAGGACAAAAGGCAGACTCAAATCAAGACTTTGGCTGGAGATGCTGGTGGCCTTTCGGCCTCCTTATGAGAAGAGTCTGTTGGAATGAAGCAACACAGAGGGAATCAGAGCTGGGAGCTGAAGAAGGGATAATTGTTGAGAACATCTTCTGAGCCCCTAGATCCAGCCACGCATGAAAGCCTACACCTGGACTTTTTAGTTACCTGAGCAAATAAATCCACCCCCACTTTTTGTTGTTGTTGTTTAAGTGAGTTTGTGTTGAATTAGGTGTCAGTAATGTGTTCTTTGAACTTTCTGCTTTTCTCATTCATGCATGCCCCTCTGTCAATGTTGCCAAATCCTAGCCAATTTTTTTTTTTTTGCGGTACGCGGGCCTCTCACTGTCGTGGCCTCTCCCGTTGCGGAGCACAGGCTCTGGACGCGCAGGCTCAGCGGCCATGGCTCACGGGCCCAGCCACTCCGTGGCACGTGGGATCTTCCCGGACCGGGGCACGAACCCGCGTGCCCTGCATCGGCAGGCGGACCGTCAACCACTGCGCCACCAGGGAAGCCCCAGAGCCATTTTTGATTAAAAGAAGAGGAAGGGGAGGAAGGGGAGAAAGAAAGAGAAGGATAAGAAGAAGTTGTTAAACCTAAAAGCTGCACGAAAGGCAAGGTCTAATGTAGTGCTGGTAATTAGACAGCATTGTTGCCACCACTCCCTGCCCTGTACCCATCACAAATATCACTCATTTACAAGAATTCTTCTCAATGCAGAACTCTTGGCAGCCATTGCCAATCATCTGGAGTTGCCTCCAACCTGAAATCTATTTTCCAACAAAGCTAAAGAGACCTACATCATTACACTGGGACTGGGACTGGGAGATGGTTTAAACCAAAGCAGAGGATTAACTACCATGGCCTGTCTGGAGGACACTAGTTGATCACAAAGACAGAAGCAACTTTGATATACTGGCAAAACCCAACAGTGCTAATAGTTAGCCCTGAGCCACTGCCAGGGTCAGCCCTTGGGGAGGGGTCTCAGAGAGAAAAGCATAGCGTTTGGTTAATTGGCCCCTGGAGCTGAAGCACGGGCAGGAGAGGTCTGGTGGGTGCCATCTTAACCCAGAGGGCCAGGCAGCCTCACATGGCAGCCTTGGGGGGGCCTCCACCCTGGCCCACACCCAGTGTCAACACTGGCCACAACATGATGGTGCGCCCCACCTACACGCCAACTGGCAACTCAGGGCTCTCAAGGCTGCCAGTTCTGAGCAGGTAACATTTTCTTGGGCATACACCTCTGATAACAACAAGTGCTGGTTCTTTCTAAGTTGGCACATTTCTAATTCTGAAGCTGACGGGTGCTTTTCTCACTCTCCCAGAGCTCAAAATCAACTTGACATTTCTAAAATTACATTTTGAAGGCAATGAATCTATAAAGTGCAAATAGAAACATTCTGGCTCCCTCCCGTAAATGTGAATATTCTTTCTACATTAGCTGGGACGGGGGAGTGGGGAAGGGAGACTTGCACCTCCAAAGGATGAAAGCGTTCAAGGAGCAGGTGCTCTCTGAATGTCCCTGAGAGTTCAGAGCAGCTTCACGACATGGGTTGAAAATTAAGCAGAAGCAAGACCGGGCACGAAGAGGTGAGGCACCTTCGACTTCTAGACGAAGACAGCCCGGCCGCGAGGTGGGTCCCAGAGGAAGCCCCCTGGCTGGGCCGGCACACAGGACACTTAAAAGAGAATCAGGCAGGGCCTCCCTGGTAGCACAGTGGTTGAGAGTCCGCCTGCCGTTGCGGGGGACACGGGTTCGTGCCCCGGTCCGGGAAGATCCCACCTGCCGCGGAGCGGCTGAGCCCGTGAGCCATGGCCGCTGAGCCTGCGCGTCCGGAGCCTGTGCTCCGCAACGGGAGAGGCCACAACAGTGAGAGGCCCGCGTACCAAAAAAAAAAAAGAAAAAAAAAAAGAGAATCAGGCGGTAGCTTCGTCTCCTTAAACTGGAGAGGTGTTCGAAGGGGCTTTGTGTGAGCCACGATGGAAACACACCTATCGAGAGGGATCAAGGGCCTGGCCGAGAGGACTGCAGATGGGACAGGGAATTGAATCTTTTTTTTTTTTTTTAACAAAAATGTAAAAATCAGGGAGAAAATGCCTTTTTTTAAAAAATTGTAGCAAACGCTGTCCAATGACCACAGTCCTCTTCTCCCCCTCACCCAAAGATCAACCGTAAAATGCAACCTGTTAGTATTTAAAGTGATCCATTCAACAGAAAAGAACCCCGCACCCCTTGCCCTCCGCCAACCAAGCTCCCTGGGCCTCCAGCCTGGACAGAGGGAGTCAGGCCCTCCTGCTTCAATGCCTTACAGTGGCTGCTGTGGGTTTTTACAGCTGCAAAAAAAAAGTGACCCCGGATGAAACCATGAGACCTTAATCAACATTCCACACAGGGCAGCTCCATTCAGCAATCATTAATCCGGTGCTTACAAGGTGCCTCCAGGGTGCTCATTAGTGGGGAGACAGAGAAGATTTGGGGAAATAGAGGCCTTGTTTTCTGGGATTGCAACACCCGGTGGTAGAGGCACATGCAGACAGCACAGGCCTTCTGAGGAGATGGGAGGCCAGGGACAGAGATGAGAAGTTCTCCAACGGAAAACTGCGGGCCACACTTTGAGAGGTCCCTGTGGGGGAGATGGGGTCTGAGGAAGCTCCTGAGGGGGGGGTAGCATCGTGAAGGTGGCTGAGGGCACGGAGCCCGGCCATCCTGGGTGGAGTGCGCAGCAAACGCACAGGCAGAGAGAGAGGGAGGCTTAGGGTCACAGCAAGCCCTCCTGTGGTGTGGGGGCAGGGTAGTGAGCTGGGACCCTGGGGAGGTACACCGGTCTCCTCTAAGACCACGAATGGCAGGCTGAGGATTCTGCTAAATGAGATTCTAACGATAGAGACCCCTGTGGAGGGCCGTGCTGCTCCGGGGCCGGGAAGTGAGCTGAGCTGAACAAGCCACATACGCACCGCCGAGTCCCCGGTGCCATCTTACCTGCGTCCCCTCCCGCGCAGAGGAAGGAGCGCCTTCCGCAGGCTGGCGCCAGGCTGGGCCTCCCCTGAGCTGGGCAGGCCCAGCGTCTCTGTGCACGTGGAGAAGTGGCCCCAGAAGGCCCTTCAGGGGCTGGGGACTGAGGCTGCAGGCGCAGCAGACACCTCCCAGCCCAGCTGAGCTCGTAGAACCAAGGCCTTGCTAGTCCGTCATAGACTCCGCCCCGACTCCGTGAAAGGCGTGGAACACGGGCTTCTGCGGATGTGTGTGGCCTCTCAGCCCATTACGGGTGACACGGGCGGGAAGGAGAGGCAGCAGCCCTGGAGTCTCTGACACAGGTGGATTATCTGAGTCGCCTGTGTGCCCGCACGCCGAACTGCCACCCTCACCCCTGCCCGTGCTGGCAGGAGTCCCCGCCCCTCCCCCACTGCCGGACCTGGGGGATGCATGGGTCACATCAGCAGCTTCACGCAGGTGGGACCCGTCCTTCTCCCCGCCCCCCTGCAGCCTCTACTCCCACGGCACCTCCCCACTGAGTCCACACACAGACTCATTTATTAACTTGACTTTGCACATGTCAAATATCTTTTCCGTTTAATTAAAAAAACAAAACAGTTAATATCACAAGGGGCTCCAGAAAGACATGCTTTTGAATTCCAGCCATGGAGAGGACTAAAGGAGAGCTGGGATCTGCAGATGTGGCTGCTTTCCGCAGAGGGATTTGTGCAGCCCCGACAAGCTCACTGCCCGTGAGAGAACCCACCGCACAGCAGGCAGGAGCCGTGGGACAGAGTCTTTGGTCGGCGGGAGCTACACCCAGAGCTCTCCAGAAAGTGGCTCCCCCCGGGGAGGGGGGGGGCCCGCCA